GCAAATGTCATGTCCAAGACCTTACCTTATTCCTGATTCCATTGTGGAAGTGGACTAGTTCCAACCAAAATTTGCTCTCCTCCTGCAGCTGAAGTTACCTCTCTAGCCTTTCCTTTTGTTGGCATCCCTGTGTTAGGTGTCAGAGTTGATTCACATTCCTTTGGCCTGATAACCTGTGTAGGCTGGTTTAGTGCAGTGGGCTCTTTTATTAGATGAGGTGTGTTCTGCCGAACCTCAGTAAGAGCTTCTAAGTCCATCTGATCTTTATGCGACACAAGTTCTAAAAGGGAGAAATTTTGTTCACTGTTGTTAGGATCTACATTAAACACCTGTTCCTTGATGCTGAGGCCACATGGATCCAGCACCTCCTCTAGAAACAACAACTTAGTGTTCAAACTTTCCTCGAAGATATCTTTCGAGTTTTGTAGATCTATACTTCCTAGACTGAGAGTTTCTTCAATGTCCAAATCAGAGAACCCTTCATCATCAGTTAGTATTTCCAGCTCCAGGTTATCTATCTCACTGCGCTTAACACATCTCGGATTACAACGATCTGGTGAAAGCCGAGCCAATTTCTTTGAAGGAAGCCATTGTAACAAATAATTCACTTGTGTAGGGTCATTCGACCGACTGGAGGAGATTGAGGTAGAAGATGGTAGACCTTGTTTCCTGTCTAGCTAAGATGCTCCCTCAATTACGTGCTTTTTTAAGTCACCACGTGCCGGCTGTAAGCAGGGTAAGGCTTGGTTGGGGAGCGGTCTCTTTGAAAGACGGAGAAAGGTCCCATGAGTAGGGAAAAATGGGAGAGTCTCTCAGGATGTGGGAATAGGAGAGTCGGGGTGTCCTTAGGGGTACTGGATGACAAGTGCTTAGGATCGGATGAATTCTAATACGAGGGGGATCTCTATTTATGGAGGAGATCCCGAGATCCTAAAAGGTAGGAGATGAGGATATTCGTTCCGTATCGGGAAAAGAGAATATTTGATCCGCTGTCAATTATATGGTGCACTACTGGGGTTTCGCCACGCGTCTCATGAGGATCTTCTCGGGGATTGGCTTTCCTTATCCTTGAGGTCCCTCATTACTCACGTGTGCTACTGCCTTTTCGCGCATTATAACTAATCCTGTGTGGCATTGGTGACGTCATTGCTTGACGGGCGACGCTTAGTTGGCCCCACGTGGCGATTTGCTGCAACCTTAATTGTCGTGGACTCCACGTGTCTCCGGGCATACGCTGGCCTTGCTATGGGCTCGGCCTGGGTCCCAACCCCCACGCTGTGATAAACCCGTGGCACACCAGCATCCCTGCGATGAACTCGAAATACGTATCGCAGTAATCGCGATAAACCCGTGGGTCACCGAGTAAAGTCAGCGTTAGAACCCAAAGAAACCACAGCCGAACCCATCCGAGAGTCCCAAGCTATCGAGAAACATGACTGTTACCTTTCTTTAGGTGGGAAGGTCAGCAAATTCCTAAGCGGATGGATTAGCTAAGCAAGGGGCTTCAAGGGAACATTTATTTTGGGCTGCTTTGTAATTTTAGTTCTGGTTAATTCTGTTTTAATTTGATGTAATACATGTTAGAAGAGGTAACAACTCGTGCCTCCTTTTGGGTCTCCTGTATTGCATCATATTTCTGATTTAATAAATTGTATTCATTCATAAAAAAAAAAAAAAAAAAAAAAAAACATTTGCAAGAGATGGGGTTCTCAATTGATAGGCCTATGAAGTTGTACTGTGATAATCAAGCCACAGTCCACATTTCTTCTAACCCAATTTTTCATGAAAGAACAAAGCATATAGAAGTTGATTGCCACTTTGTAAGAGAAAAGGTGATCAGTGGAGTGATAAGTACAACACATGTGAGTTCAGGAAACCAGTGGGCAGATCTGTTTACAAAAGGGTTGAGTTAAGGTAGAGTGGATTACATATGTAACAAGCTGGGATTATATGATACATACTAACCAGCTTGAGGGGGAGTGTTAGAGTTGGCAACATAAGGGTAGTTTAGTCTTTTGTCATTTAATTAAAGGTGAGTTGTCTATTTTGTCTGTATTTAAGTTGTGTGTCCCATAATTAATGTTTCTCTCATAATTAATGAAATTTCCGTGTTACTGATAAAAAAAATAGTTGTGCATCCCATACTTAATAAGGGACATAATTGTCTTTTGTATTCTAATGCACAAACTATAAATAAAATGTGGGTCGGCTGAGAGAGTGATCTTTTTCTCTCTGACTGAACCCTTTCTTTCTCTCCTCTCTTCTTTCTCTTCTCTCTTTCTTTCTTACTTCAAACCTAGGACTGAACCAGTGTTAATCAAACCATTAACAATAGCTAATACCTTTCCTCCTGAGTCTCCGAGGACACCTCCTAACCCTACCACATCTTGGTTACCAAAGAAACTTCCATCAAAATTAAGCTTCACAAAGTTTGTTGCTGTGGTCTCCATACCATAAAGATTTTTTCCTTAAATTGGGCTGATACAGCGACTTCCTTGTGAGTTCTCAGAATGCCATCCAATGAATACTTGGAAGTCTTCCAAAGTTTTCATCCAATGAGCATCTTTTAACTTTACTGTTTCGAAGATTTCCACCTCTGATCTGCTTTTTTTCATTGAAGATCCTTCCATTTCTCTCTTCCCAAATGGACCATAACAAGGCGGCCATAGCTGTTTTCCATAACAACCTTCCTCTTTGCTTTAGTTGCCTCATTGGGATCAAAGAGGCCCACCACTTCCTGTGGGGGATTCCACCTTTAGCCAAACAGAGAACAAAGATGCTCCCAAATACAAAGAACAAAAGGGCATAATAGAAATACTTGGGAAACAGTTTCACCATTGTGTTTACATAGGATGCACAAGTAAGGGGAAAGGCACTTATTTGGCCTTCTTCTTTGTAACACATCACAGGTGTTGATCTTTCCAAGGATGACTTCCCAGTAAAAGGCTCGAGTCTTGGGAGGATTGGCTTACTCCAAATTTCTTTCACCAAGAAGTTTGCCCCTAAGGTAGATGGCTGAATTAAGAAGTTAAGGAAAAAAGCACAAGTAAAAAAGTCATTTAGGGAGATTGACCACACCCTGGTGTCCTCTACATTTTGATCCAAAAAAACTGAGTCAAGTCTGGCCAAAAGAGAGATGAGAGACTCACGTTCTGATTCCCTAAGACCCCTTTCGAACCCAAAGTCCCAATTTAAACCCGAAGCAGAGAAACTCAAAAACTTTAAGTAATGGGTTCAGATTTGTAATTGGAAAGTGCATAAAGCAAAGGAAATTGAACCTTTAATGGATGTTTACCTATCCAAAGGTCCTCCCAGAACAAGACTCGGGCATTACACTCGTTGAAAACTTTAAACTCCTTTAACTCTTTTTCATATGATGATCTTTGGAGGAGCTGATCAGCAATGGCTAATACTTCAGCCAAGAAAGATATTGTTAAAATAGTTTGGTCACCTCCGCTGGAAGGTATTGTTAAACTAAACTTTGGTGGAAGTAGTTAGGGTAATCCAGGACCTTTGAGTATAGTTTGGCTACCTTTGTGCTTTTTTTGTGCCTTGCGCTTTTAAAACACTGCAACCTGTATTAGTAAACTTGAAGGACCCAAACTAGAATTACCTGAACCCGGGCTACCAACCCCTTCAACATGAAAAAATGCACCCACCCAAAGTCTGACCAATTTACTCTGAACCTAACACCGAATCGTCCAAATCCTTCTTGAGTGTTATAGATTTTGCTTGACTTGCCAGACTAGAACTGCCACCAATTTCAGTCAACTGACCTTTGTGTCAAGAGTCAAACAAGTTGGTATCTAATGTGTCAGGTTATAGGAGGTACTGGTCAGTTCATGAAACACCAACCAACCAGAAACCCTATAGTCACCATTACCAAAGCTTGGAGAAGCTCTTTCCTCATGCCTATTCCTTTAATTCACACGCAAAAGTTCTGAAATCAGGACAATTCTAATCTTCATTGGGGTTTCAATCTTCAACCAGGGACCTGGGTAATTCATGATTCTGGACTGGAAAAATGTTTTCAGTATCTTGTGGGAGGTTAATAGATTTTGAGCATCATCTAAAATGATTGAACACTGCTGCAAACATAACATAGGGAAGATTTTGTATCAGTATATAGCCCAGACCTGGGGGTTAACAAGAGCCCCAGCTTTTAGGGGTCTGTCAACAAAAATGACCACTTTTAAATGAAGATAATAGCGATGGTTTTCAGTTATATTAAGAATACCAATGCTAGCCCCTAGGTATTCTGCTATATCCTCCCGAACATGTTCAAGGAAATTGTGGACCTGAACTCACACCTCAGCCTCCTTTATAACCTAATCATCTTGCCTAAACCTGCTCTCCATCCCTTTTGCATCTACCAGTGATTAAAAAGTAGCCATGGTCCTGACCTAAAAATCATCCAATTGTCTGGAACTAAATTTATAATCAGTGAATGCAGGTCATCCATACCCCACGCAACTCTGATCTGGTTGATGAAATCCGGGATGGGAATTGTTGATATCTTGGGAAAACTTTCCCAATGAAGCAAGGTTCTAGGCCTCTCTTTGTTCTCCCAGAAGTTCTATCAAAGTCAAAGAGATCCACATCACCATATTCATTGTCATTCATCATATTGACAAATTCAACATGAAGGTTATTTAGATCCCCCATCTAAAACACAAATAAATCTCAAAGATCATTAAATAGAACAGAAGTTAGATCATAAAATACAAAGAAAAGGAAAGAAACAAAGATACCCCAACTAGGGAGACAACCCCAAAAATGGAGAAGAAAGTTAACTCCAGGAACAGGAAAGAAACATACCTGGAAGTGGCACAGAGCTAAACAAAATGGAGACCACCAACTGTTACCAAACTAAATGCTACCATACTAGCAGTTACTAAACCATAACTAAAATCTACCAGCCTATAGATCATTGAGTTGTCAGGTTGTTCGTCTATGCCCATGATTTATATTTTGTAATTCCTGTCTTCTCTATTCAACAGGGACACCGAAACCCATTAGATGGCATACCACCTGCTGTCAAAGCTGCATTGACAAAGGCATACAAGCAAGGAAGTAGCTTGCGCGTGGTACGATCAGCTGACTTGATCACACTTCCTGGAATTAAGAAGGCCCCAAAGAAGCGTGTAGCAGCAATGTTAGAGCCAGTGGAAGATACTTTGGCAGAGGAGGACGATGATGCACTAGCAGAAAGTGAAGAAGAGAACTCTTCAGATACAGAGGATATGGGTGAGTCTTTCTCTTAATGATTGACTAGTTATTTACTCTGAGGGTGTGGGTAAGTGGGTTAAATTCTGCAGTGCTTGTAATGTAATGGGAAACTTGAAAACCTGGGTAACATTTTTTTTCTTGTTGTATTGAATAATTTATAGCTCTTGGTGCACTGGTGATTGTGTATAGATTTTTGACATTTCTATCAGTTTTTTATTTCTATATGGTCTATTCACCTTGATTTTTCGTCACTACATTTGCAAATAATCCCATGTTTGATTCATGGTTATGTATCTTATCTGGTAAACTCTAGTACCACGTGGAAACTCGTTGAACACTAGATCCTGATTCTTCACTGCCTGTTCATACTGTTTTACCTAATAAGCTTGTAAATGTTATCTACGGATTCCTAGACGGCAATTGCATTATCTGCTTCATTCTCTCTAAAAAGGCTCTTTGTGAAGTCATTATTAATGAATTATTTTGCACAGTAAAGTGAGCATGTTGGATCATCAAAAAAGAATTGCTGACATTTCATTTGCATTTTTCTCGTGTCAGAAAATATTGATAAACAACTTAAGATGGATTTTCAGAGCAACAGCTCGAAAGGTGGGTATTAAGTTACCATTTGTTTGTCACTTTGAGATCAAGAACTTACAAGTCAATGGATCTCTTTCTACACTTCTTTTGTTTTGTTTTTCCTTTATAATTTGGGATCTTGTGTTTATTTTTTGCAGGAATTCAAGTCAAATTGGACTTGAAAAACACGGGAAATTCTAATGCAAAGAAGACACCAGCGAATAACTCGAAGGAAAGCTCTCAATCTGGACAGAAGAAAGGGGGACGGGGTTCTGGAGCAGCAGCCAAGAGAAAAAGATAGAAGAGGACTTAGTAGTTTTAAGGTATTTTTGAGTAGGAAAGCGTATGGCTTCCTAAAATTTGGGGCTGTTGCCATTTGTAAGTATTTCATCACGAACACTTTTTGAGGTTGCTACCATGGTTCACAGTGTTCTATATAAACAATGAAATTGGGCATCTAATGGGAGGAGCAAAAGATTACAACTCTGGATATTTTACTGTCGTTTCAAAAAGTACCAACAAAATTTCTATTTTATGTATGCAAGCATTCAGTAACATTGGAAAAAAATCATGGATTTTGTTAATTGGAAAACAATGACGAGGCATACAATTTCAGCAAAGTTTTATTATAAAATCTTGAGGAAGGTATTTGGATTTGATCCCAATCAGTTAAATCAACACTTGGATTTTAAGTTTTTCATTGTATAAATGGACTGGCCATGATAAATTTAGAAGCGTGCTTCAATATCTCAATTAGGCTGTGTTTGGTTTGATGAACGACTCCCTGAAAATTGTTAGTGGTTGTAAGACATTTCATGCTGTTTCAATTAGGCTTATCTGGCGTTCTATGTAGGGTATTTTATGGGTAATGGCCCACAATTGATCAAGAGATTATTTTCTAGTTCCAAGTTCCAGCTACCGAGAACTTTCTGAGAATTGGAATGGATGCAGAAACAACAAATGCTTGCCAAATCTCGTATGACGATGCTGGGCTCAATGAATTGTGAATATGGGGGATATAACGATGGGTGAGTGATTGGGTCTTTATCAAGGTTGCGTGATCCCATCCATCATTTTGCTTCATTTCAAGTCCAAAATGGTAGGGCGGGCCCACATAATATGAGAGTTCTTACTTACTGGAACATCACACTCGATAACCGTTGGATTTGGGAGCGGATGGGCGGTGTGTGGATGTTGGGCAACATCCGCGGTGGACAAAGGACCACAGGAATCTCAGTGACGGGGACAACCAAGTTAATGTCGAATTGTCAACAAATTCGGTTCGGGCTCCGTCCCACTGAGTTGCTTAAGAAATGTATTCATGGGCTACGGAAATGCTATGCTTTTATCTTTTCTCTTTTGTTTTAGTATAAATATAAAAAGAAGTGATCAAAGTGGCCAAGTTGGGTTTTGTGATAAATAAGGTTACCCGCATACATGATGACATGATACATCTGTCCCTCTCATACCCGCATTGCACTGCAAAGTGCAAACTAATTCATTGCAGAAATGAACCAAAGAGTGGTCTAAAACAAGCCTGAATCTGCTCCTCACACCAATCTCACGTCTCAACCGCATATTGGGAACATCTCCCGCAAGTAGTGTCATTTTGACTATGGAAAAAAAAAGGCACCCTTCATCATCATTTCTGCGAGTTGCAACTTGCAAGGCAGGATCAGGATGTTTTACTAAAATTAAAACCGTGTTATTTTTACTTTTCTTTAGAGGGTCTTGTTTTAATTTTCACTTCTCGCTACATAAAAATAACGCGGTTTCTAGATTCCGTCTCCAAATCTCCATTCAACAATAGGTAGAAATGCGACTTTGCATGTAACTATTCTATTTCACCAAGACAGGCAGGCAGACAAAAAGGCTGGCTGATAGTGAAGAGTGCAAGAAACAAACAAAAAATAATTCAGACAATGAGAGAGGGAGAGATGATGCAAATTTCACTGGACAGAACGATAATTACAAGTTGTTGGGTATGACCAAAAGAATTTATTATTTGTATAAATCTATTTTGATTTTGACTATCATTAATTACTATATCAGATTCCTGTCCTTTTCTCTTGTTTTATTTTATAAATTATTTTAATGTATGGTATTGGTAGCCACATGAAAACGAGGGCTATTTTGCGCCTCCCTATAACCTCAAAAGTAAACCCCTCCACCTCCACCATTTCCCCAACATAGTGTATTTACTTTTGATAATAAATCTTATGTACTCAAATCAAATAGTGTATTTACTGTTGATAATAAACATCGATGGGATTATTCTCCCCCACCCCAGCACAACCCCACATCCCTTCCTGATTTCCCTTCTTTTAACACGTCCAGGTGCAACCCACCCCTACTCTTTTGTCTTGTGGTTGTGGGGGAGAAAAACCATGACACAATTAAACAATATCAAGTAATTTAAGAAAAAAAAAACAAAAAACAAAAAACCAAATTAACAATATAAGAAATCAACAGTCGTCTTCCTTTGTTTATACATCCTTCCTCCTACTTTCCGCGAATCACGAGGTATCTGCATTACAAAAACACATGCGTCATTTTAATTAATACATGAAGCTCTCTTAATAAAAATTGCGACCGATTACTACTGGGGTCTGGTCTGGGGGTGGGAAATGGGAATGGAGATAGATACAACGCAAAAACCAACACTCTAGTTTGTTGCATTACAGCAGCCTTCTACATATATAGTTTAATGTATAACAAAATCACATATGTTTATTTTATCACTACTAAAATAATAATAAAAAGTAAAAGAATAAACAAAAGGGAGGTTCATATTTCATATTTCATAAATCATAATTCATGCTTCATCCCATCCCGGTCTGTCGGGGTCCGGTCAACTCTAAACCGGACCACAGTGGCTTAACCCCCCGGGACCAAGTGGGCTCCACACTAAAACCAAAAAGTGATATTGGAAAAAACAGATGGTATTGGTATTTGATAGCACCCTCGTGAATGGGCTCCACACTAATACCAACAATTCAATTTCACAATGGCTATACATACTTACTTTTGACTATTCATTTGGGTTTTTCCTGCCTGAATCACACTAGCCTGGCCTTGCCATAACTCACAAGGCAGAAAAGAAATATCACAAACCGGTTCAACCAGATTCCCATGCAATTAATTGAATGAATAAAAGGAACCAACCACCTATTCTGAGTTCCTGACCGTTCCTTAATGAATAAAAGGACCCCAATTATTTATTATTAGTCTTTAGTTCTGCTGTTCCAAAATTTTAATTTTACCCAAACACAATGTACTTGAACTTGACTCCTTAGTAAACGGAATTTGTATAGTAAACGGAACTTGACTCCTTAATTTTACCCAAACATAATTTTACCCCAATTATTTTTTTTTTTTTATTTACCTTTGTGTGTTTTTCGTTTATGCAGTAAGAATTTGTATAGGATGGAGACTTCATTGACAAGCGCTAAACCGAGAACCGTGTCCAAAAGCGCCCAGCATCTTACACGTTACCTCCATCAATTTCCCTGTAATTTTTTAACAACAAATGTCAGCAACAATCGTCAATAACAAAAGAAAAAACTACACACAATAAACAAAGCAGAAGAACATATATATATATATATATATATAATTCAGCCTCATTAAACAAACCCCAAATTAATCAATTCGTTCAATAATAAAACCCCAAATCCTTATGGCGTCTCAGTCCCTGTTCAAGCACACAGTTCAATCCATTCCCACAAAGCCAGCCCCCCCCACCACCACCAAAAAAACCCTCTAAATCTAATTTCTTCGGGAAACAGAATAACTTAGACTGAAACCACCAAGCTCACCACCTTGTGCTTGAACAGACCGAGATTGGAAGGTTTTAAGCTAATGACAACAGGGGCATTTAAGTCATTGTACTACTCCCCTCCCGGCCTACAATGCAAGGGACTGCAGGCTGGAACTAGAATGCGAGCTCGAATAAAGCCTAAAAGGTCTCTAATTATTCCTGAAAATGCCCCTCCGCACCCCACCACCACTACTACCGTCGAACCTAATCACGGACCGTTCATAAACCAAGACCATATATTATAATCACCACGAGTGACGACGACAAGTCCCAACACCCAACACTACATGGATTCCGGCAACCGGACTCAACGCCTCAATAATAAACGCCCGGATTCCGGTCGCAGCGTCTCACATTTCGGTTCGTTGCTTCCTAAACTATTGTAGATGCAATGGCGGATTAAGACATACTAATTAGAAGGATGAAATCACGAACCTCTCCTTGCTTTTACAGATGTCTTGGAGGGCTTGACCGTTTTTGTTTTTGCTGTTTTCGTTTCGGGTTTCGACTGTTGCTCTTCTGGCGGGAACAACACACCGTCAATGCCCTGCACTGAAATCCGACCGTCCGTGTAGATATCAGGATCGAACAAATAGGCAGACCCATCGCCGTGCCCGAATTTCACAGACCCATCAGCCTCCAGCGCCACCACCTTGTGCGGCAGCCGTAGCGTATCGTATCGGACCTTGCCGAATCTTCTTACAGCGTTGTACATGCTCTCCTCCGTCTGGTATTCCGGAATGAGGTGGTAGTACATGATCTGTTCCGGCGCTCCCGGTTCGCTCAGCTGGTCCGTCGTGAGCTTCGCCATGGCCTCGTCGTTAGGCGCTAATACGGTCAGTACGTAGCCCTCGGAAACCAGTCTCCCCATTTCCGTGGCTAACGACGTCAGGTTCACAAGAATATCTGCCAACTCGTTGTATCCACCGTAATGCAGGAGGGTTTGGATGAAGTCCTTCACCTGGCTCTCACCGTCGAACCAATGGTGAGGCCCGCCCGGCCCTGGTGCAGGTACCGGTGCACTACCTGGAGCAGAAGCCATGGCCTCGTAGATCGGGAGAGAAGGAGGTGAACCGGGAGGAGCAGGTGGTGCCGCCTTCTTCAACCGGTGGGTTCTAGTGTCCACTTCAGGTGCCCCCTCCGGTCGAACGGCCGAGATAGAACTGAGGCTCCGGCGACGGTTGAAGTCTTCCTGCACGGATCGCGGAATCAATAACCGCTCAATCCCGTGGATAACACCGTCAGGGCGGACCACAGCGTCGGGGTGGACAACAGTCGCAAGATCAACGACCTTCTTGCCGGAATCCTTACACGTCAAGTGGAGGTGATCGTTGGAAAGCGTCTGATGTCTGACTGACTTAGCTGCAATCTTCGGCCACTCATCCGACGCTATCCGTTTGGGAATAATGTGAAACATCAAAAGAGTCTGAAGAGACTTGAGATTACCAGGCTCGAGAAGGAACCGCTTGAACTCGGGGTCGAGGTCGCGTTCCAAAGCTTCATTTTTGGGAGCGAAAATGGTGATGTTATACTTCCCGACCGCTTCTTCTAGGGTTTGCAAAAGGAGAGCTTTCTCGACCAGCTCGGAGAGTTCGGTGTAATGTGAGTCGAGGAGGGCCACTAGGACAGAATGAGAGTTGATTTGGCCGGAGTTAGACGGGGAAGACTGCTTTACACCCGAGTTTCCCGACAATGCAGCGCCGTTTGCAACAAAGAAGAGAAGGAACGACAAGTAGAACAACTTAGACGCGCCATAGATCTCAGACTCCATGGCGATCGAGGAGGGGAACCAGTTTCAGAGAGGTGAAATTTTGACCAAAAACCAGAGAGGCTTGAATCCTCGGATGCTTGTTTTTCTGCTCGTTTTCCCGTGTAACTTTACTTTGCCTATTGCGTTTCGTTTTCTTGTGCCTTTCTTTTATTATATTAATGCTTCCGGATTTCAAAGTGGGCTATTAACTAGAGTTGGTAAAGCTTCGTCGGTTCCGGTGAGAGACTGAGGGCGGACACGTGGCGACACCAGGTGAACACTGCAGAGGCCCTTCAGCCTTCAGGCAGACTGGTAATGAGGACCGCACCGCGACTATTGTCAGGGGTGACTCACGGGCCATCGCTCCAGCGATTCCAGCTGGATAGCTATAGTTTTGATTCTTGTACTATTATGCCCTTTATGTCAGTCGGTCGGGTTCGGTACGGGTTTGTCTCCAACCCATCCTAACCCGATCTGACCCTATAGGATTATCCGATTTTGTCTATAGTCTTTCATTTGCATCTTTTCTGAGATATTTTGAAACTTCATGAATTTTAAACAAGCATGAAAAGAAATCGTAAAGTTTATGGATATGAGGGTAGAAATTAATATCAAATTGTAAAATCAGGTTGAAGATTCAAAACCCGACGTCCAAGTAAGTTTGACCCTAACAAAACTAGAACTAACTAATCAAAACGCTTTTACAAAAATAAATAAATAAATAAATAAAAAACTAAATAATCAATCAAAATCCTAATCGGACCCTACACCCAATCAAACCTTGATCGTTAACTAGACCCATTGACATATTGGGCCAAAGTCTTGGTTCAGTCTCCAAAAGAGGAGGGTAATTTAATAATTTTGCAGTTGTGGCGTGGACGACGAGCTGCTTGAGCTGGGAAAGAGGAAGAGCCGTACAAAAAGAAATAGAGGTGGGGGCCACGCGTTTTAGGAAGCCCGCCAAGCCGAAAGGAAGAAAGCTGAGCTGTCACTGTCTGACGCAAGCTAATAGAAGCCTTGCATTTCAATGTTCTGAGAAGTGGAGTGAGAATAAAACCCTCAAACCAGAAACAAAGGGAAGTAGGAAACGGGGGGCTTAACGGAGACATCTTGCCGTTAGTCTCCGTCATGCAAACCCTATATGGTTAGGTGGTGAACCGGGGTTAAGGAGTGTGGTTACGTCAGAACTCGGAATCTCTGACCTCTCTCCGACGCTTGTGTGCCGCCGTGTCGGTGGGTGTTCGAGGCTTTCCACTTTTCTTTGCTTTGGTTTCTTTATCAATCTCAAATAAATCGTGTGGCGTAAAAAATTGGAAACACGTGCTTTTTGACTCAGGGATAACAAAGCTAGACGGGCTGTGTAGCAGACTAGCAGTATAATATTTTGCACGTGGCAACCCAAAGGGTGATATGTTCTTTTCGAGCATTAGCCCACGTGGCAACTTTTTGGAACAAAATCAAAGGAAACTAATTTTTGAACAGTTTTTCTAACCCTTTGATGGATTGCCTCTGGGATAGTTTTATAACTGATACGTATGGAACATATTATTATAATTTTTAATATTGCCAAGTGAGCGGTAACTCGATTGGTACTAAATTAGGTAGTCCCATACGAGATTCAATTTCAAGCTCTGTTATCGAGTCTCACCACCTTTGAGAAGAGCTATGTTAAGAAATTGAATTACAGCCCCTATGGGGCAATGGCGAATAATCAATACAAAAGAAATTAGTTTTTAATATTTAGATCCTTTAGATGAAAAAAGATTTTTATTGTTAAATTGGTAATGAATTTATAAACTAAGCAAGGAAAAAGATTAAAATGGAAAATGAGCAGGAAAAGAGAAAAAAAAAAAAAAAGACGCCCTAGTATAATTTACAAAAATGTAGAATAAGTCGACCTTTTCTTTTTCTTTTTCTTTTCCTGATTTTTGTTTAATGATAATTGGATCTCTTTTGGTAAACATTTCATGGGATTTCTAGGGTTTATGTACATGTGCTTGGTTCTTTTTCAGTCATAAATTTGTGAAAAAGTCCTTAAGACATTTTATGAAATTTCTTAACAAACTTTTTCTTTCTCACTATATTATGGAGGAACCAAAAAACAGCTCAAGGGGCTATAAAAAAAAAAAAGCATTTAGCAAAGGATATACAGAGACACATTGGAAAGATTTTCCTTTGAACCACTTTTTTATAATTTCTTAAATGAACTACAAATTCTTTTAATAATAAACATAGAATTCAATGGGCTTGTTATATGATGGCCAATATCTCGTTGATGAGGACCACCCACTGAAAGTTATTTTCAATAAAACTTTACTTAGACCTCAAAATAAATAAATAAATAAAACTTAGCTCGGAAGTTCAATCCAAAAGGTGGCTGTTCCTTTTTCTTTTTATTTTGGTTTTACATTTGTAATATATATATATATACTTTTCAATTTTTTTTCATTAACTTATAATATCTTTTGATGCATTTATTCCATGCTATTTTTTCTTCAAATATTAATTTTATCTCTTAAATGCATACCTAAAATATTAGGTTAAGTTTATCAAGATAAGAGCTCTCAATGAGTTGGGTCGGGACCATTTATTGCAGTTTCAAACCTATAAAGAGCCCCTTGTATATAAATTAATTTTGGTTAAAAACACTTGTTTTATCAATATATAAACTGTTAATTACTATATACCGTCGTTTTTATCAAGGCCAAGTTTGGAAGAGTATAAATACATACAAAATTAATATAAAGTTTTGCACTTTAGGTTGTGTTTGGAAATGATGTAAATGGAGTGTAGATCTTGGTTTAGGGTAAATTTGTACTCTAGTTCACTTTTGCCTGTGTTTGGCAATATTACATTTTTGCTTTGACAAATGACAGATCAATGCATATTTACATTGATAGTAAAATGTAAAAGTATGTCAATAAAAAGGAAGTAAATTTGCGTTCAAGTGTGTTTTGATAAAAAAAAAGCATATACTTTATTGAAATTCGTGTTTGTATCCATTACAACTAAAAGTTTATTTGGTAATAAGGTAAATTTGTCAATGCAAAACTAACCCAATAAGTACAGTGCAAAACCTTGTATTTTGTATGTGTTTGTATCTGTATTTTTTCCAAACTGAGCCTTACATATTTGTATTTGTACTCCTTCCAAACTAAGCCTAAGGTCATATTACTAAAATAAATTTCGTTTTTGGCTCCATGGAGCTACCAACCAGTTGGCACCTTTCTATCAAAATGAAGTTCTAAGTTGTTATTTTCGAGTCTGAATCTCCTGCCCACAAAAACTCTGCCCACAATTATCTCCACCATACATGGAGAACATCTCATCCTTTGTGGGTAGGCGTGGACAGAGTTCTCGTGGGCAGGAGATCCCGACTAACATAAGTAATTATAGATATTAAATATAATCCGGTTTAACAAGGTCAAACTCAATTTATTACCCCAATTAATAATTGGTTTGGTTTTGGATCTATTTTATAGAATGGATTAATAATTTGTTTGGAACTGGTCCACCCTATCTCAAAGCAGGACCCATTGACAACTCTAACCTAGAGGACTATTGTTTCAATCTTTATGAAAATTTCGAACCATTTAGGGAAGGCCCGCCAAAGAATCTACAATTGGCTTTGCATTCTAAGGCAATAACACTTCAACAGTCCTAAGGATTGGTCATTCAAAGTAGGGCTGTTCACAGGTCGGGTTGGGTCGGTTTATTGATGTTTTTCCAACCAACCCAACTTGGTCGGGTTACTTGAAAGTGAAATCGAAACCGACCCTATGTTAGCAAAACCGACCTGATCAGTTTGAGTCGGTTTCAGTTCTACTTAGTTGTGACTTAGTTGTTGTTCAAGTGTTCATTTATGGCTCTACATTCCCAAAAGAAACCAACATTTCCTTAATGTTTTGTGGCCCATCCATGGATCCAGTTGTGGAGGGAGAAGAGTTTGATAGACAACTTAGTTAAGTAGGTTGTAACTAGGATAGAGACAACTTAGTTAAGTAGGAACTAAGTAGGTTGTAACTACTAACTATGAACTAACTATTAAGTCAGTTCGGTCCGAGTCAGTTTCGGTTTTCATGAAACCGAACCGAATCATCGGTTTATGATTTTTTATAACCCGAAACCAACCAATGTTGAAAAAAACCCGACCGACTTGGGTTGGGTCGATCCGGGTTGGTCGGTTTGATCGAGTTCGGTCTTCTTATGAACAACCCTAATTCAAAGAAAATGGTTTCTTAATTACTAAGAGATTCCCTAAACCAAAAATCTGTGTAACTAGGTAATTACAAATCTGTATTTTTGAGTATTCATTTGGGATACGAACAAATTCAATTCAAAAGTATGAAAATGGGTCTCACCAATTCAATTGTCTAGGTCAACGGATTACTTTTACAAACCCCAGGATTTACTTATGGACGGGTGGTCACAATAAATTTGATTAATAATCAACAGGTCGATCCATAACATTATATTCATTACAGTTTTTGAATTATAAAATAATATAAACCTTAATGATCTGATAAATAGATTAAGGGGGGCGCTCTTTTTCTGAATTTTGAGAGGGGAAGGTTGGTCAACGGGATTTTGCTTCCCATTTACCAAGAATCCCATGTTCATTTTTCATATCTATGTGGGGAATAGGGAAAGTTTATTTTCCTATGTACCATTTATCCGAGTAAGTGATACACATTTCTTAGGTAGGTAAATAATTTTTCCACTTAATGAGGAAAATTGCCAACACTTGAATGGGACAAAAATACTCCATTTAATAATGATTTTTTTATAACTAAAATAGTCATTACCTTATTTACCTAGTAGATAAAAGAATATTGATAAATGCACTTATCCAAGTAAATGTTTCCAAAGAAAAATTTATCCAAATAATACATTTATCCGAATAAGTAACTTACCAAAAAATGAACGAAACCTAAAAAGATAATTAATTCAACCATCTAATTAATTGGAAAGTTGTGACTGAATCATTTGATCCGGAGGCGGGGTCAACAATGTGACGAAAACATTGAACAATAATTGCATCAGGAGTAATGAGTAGCTTCATTTTCACCCTAAGAATTCAAAGTCTGGCCCAACTTGCATGAGAACTACTATGACCATTGCATAGATCCCATTGTCCCACTATCACCAGACCAAACTGTACCCTTAA